CCCATAAACTCATTGCTCTGTTGGCCACATATGGATTTAACTTTCCTATCTGGCCTTCGAACCACCTTGTAGTTGGTTTCACCTGAGATAAAGTTCCAGTCCCTAGAAGTTAAATATTTAGCTCCTGAAAAGGCTACTCTGGGATACCAAGATTATGGTGAAATGATTACATTCACACTTGTGTCAACCAAACCTTCAACTGCAATGCCATTTATTTATATTTTAAGCTTTGGTCTTTTCATCGTTTATAGAAATTTGCCAAAATACTTGTTGTATGGGCTCTCCTTAAAATTTTCTTTTATCTACTGAAGCTTTTCTGTTATCCAGAGCAGTATGGTTTTTAACAACAGACATTAAGTCTTTTAATTGCTCAGAGGATGCATTTCCCCAATGCTGATAGGAACAGCTGAACCTAATTTGATAATGGGGTTTGCAAGAGGCCCCACAGGGTGCATGCTGATGGCAAAGGGTTACCTTAACTGTCCCTTGTTGATCTACATTCATTAACTGTAGAGCATTCATTATGCCTTTGCCATACCTTCTCCATCCAGAAAGCTGGGATATTCTGTTTGGATTATCTCTAGAAAAAAACAGTTTCTAGGGATGCCTTGTCTACAATCCCTTTTCAGGTGACCTTATTTACCCCAAGGAAAATATCTGATTTTTTGATTTTTCTTAACGATTTAGAAATCGCTTCTCCTATCTAAGTATCATCATGAGGGTAAGACTCACTATCAGCTGTATATCAGATCCGATCATCTATCTAGGTGCTGATATTGCCTTTAAAAGTTTAATCACTCTTTTGTATTCTGAATTAGCATTTTCAAAACCAGAGGTAAATTAATATTTGTTTAACTTATAGATCTTATATTATTCTACTTATAGCTGAAGTCAATCTTTGCAAAGAAAAATCAATGAAGGCTTCTCTTGGACCTTGTATAGTTTTAGTAAGTGACTCAGTCCTCTTTCCTGATTCTTCAAACATGTCCCAAGCATTAAACACCGCCATATGACATAGAGCAAAGGTCTAAAAATCTAATCTGTCTTTGCGGATCAGCATACTGACCTTCACCAAGAAGCTGGTCTTGGGAAATATCAACACCTCTAGTTTTATTTCATTGTTTTATGACCCTAGCTTCCTGTTCCCACCACGTTTTCCATTGTTACTTTCAATATTGCTGTAGCTAAATCTAAGTCCTGGGGGATAATTCTATTTCAAGTTGCCCATGAATTTAACATCTGCTTCACATACGGTGAATACATACCATATGAAATGACATCTTCCTTAAATCTCCTCAAATCTAACATTCCTACAGGATTGCAGTTAACTTTTACACAACCTTGGGTGAATGTTGTTATATGGTAACTCGGTAAACTAATGTTGGTTCTCTAATAACCTTGGGCCACTCCTCTTCATTTTTATTATACCATGGTGTAGCAGGCTCTGATCTAAATTCCTCTGTCGGTGTGTGAAGACTTTTCTTCATTTCATTGGTAGGCCTTTCTAAGGCTTGTATCTTATCAATCAATTTTTCATGTTTGGCACCAATATCAAACCACCTTTTAAAGGATAAAACATGAGTTACCAAACTATTAATAATTATAATCAACATTATGCCAGTCCGCTAAGTCGGTTATTCCTTCATTTGTTTTGTTTTCATTTTCAATCCAACTGTTGTGGAACTGTACAGAGTTTTAGCTCCCTGCACCATAATATTCCCCATTCTTAGGGTGTGAAAGATTTTTTTTTAACAAAACCTAATTCCCCCTTAGCAATTAGCAGGTGCCTCACCAGATCTATGGACTTCTTAGGTTTTCTACAGCAGCCATGGTAGAACTCTGTGGGGACAGCCAGCTACAGCAGCAGTACTCAACTGTGTGGGGTGGGGTGGGGAGCAGCGGCGGGATGGACCCAGATGGTCTAAGTCCATTCATCTCTTCTCTGAGACCTGAGACACGCAGGGCTACTTAGGGTGGGCCACTGAGGAGGGCAGCCCCTGTGTGGTGTCCAAACAGACAGGCTAACCGCTGTGCTGCACAGGCTGGGCCTCAGGCACCTGAAGCTGTTCACACGCAACCTGGACGGAGGACAAGGAGTGAGGGTTGGAGTGGGGGGACCGAATGACAGAGCTAGTGGTGGCAACTGTGGTTGTGGTCAGGGAGTATTGGTCCTATTGGTCCTGGGAGTGCTATGGTGGCTCAGTGAAGTGGCGCTTTAAAAGCTGCAACAGCAGCTGCCATGTGTTGGATGCCAGATGAAGCCTTTACTTATTTACTTATTTTTCTATTAATAAAATCTTTGGAGTCAGATATTGGGGTGAAAGCCTGATCGACCCAAAGAGTGTTGGAGGAACGATCAGTTGATCCTAACTCCCCACATTTGTTAGATCTAAAAGACCAAGAGTCTCTCAAGCCCCTCCTTATACATTCCTGTGCCCCCTATCTTGGTCCTTGAAAGTCTCTTTGGCTAATTCTGGTCAGCTAATTGCTGACTCCTCCTCAAGGTGCACTTTATTGTCAGTTTTGGGTGTCAGTGAGAACAAATACCCCACAATGCATATATAAGAGAAACTGAAAATGGATTCAGAAGGAAATGGGGAGAGTTTCATTAAAGTCTGAGAAAACAACTGGGCAGACAAGCTGGAGGTCATGGAAGCTTCCGGGAGGAAGGACCTAGCTAAGAAAGAAAGTCAAGAATTTTAAAGGTAGAGACAAAGAAGCAGACAGGTTCAGGCATGAAGAAACAGCATGAAGAAACTCTAGAAACAGCCCCAAACTCTGGGGGACTTCACAAAGAATGAACATAGAGTGTCAGGACAAATGGCCTACAGACGCTGGACAGTATCTGAAAGGGGAGAAAAAAAAGCAAAGAGGAAATGTTACGACTTGGAACTCAGAAAGCGAGGGTCCCAGTGACTACATCTAAGAGGGACTTGTGAATGTGCATATTTCAATGAGATAGCTGTCTCTCCCATCTTAACATGCCTTCCAAGTATGTGTGTTATTGTCTTAGTTAGGGTTTCTATTGCTGAGATGAAACACCATGACCACAAAGCAAGTCAGGGAAGAAAGGATTTATTCAGCTTACACTTCCACAGCACTGAAGGAAGTCAGGACAGGAACTCAAACAGAGCAGGAATGTGGTGGAGGCCGGAGCTGATACAGATTGAGGAAACCTCCTTACTGACTTGCTTCCCCTGGCTTGCTCAGCCTGCTCTCTTATGGAACCCAGAACCACCAGCCCAGGGATGGCCCCGCCCACCATAGGCTGGGTCCTCCCCTACTGTTAACTAATTGAGAAAACGCCCTGCAGGTGGATCTCATGGAGGCTTTTTCTCAACTGAGACTCCTTCCTCTCTGATGACTCTAGCGTGTGCCAAGTTAACACACAAAATCAGACAAAAGTTGATGATTCTTTAAGTTCCAGGGATATACAGTTTTTTGAGGGGTGGGTGGTTTCCTATCCAGGTAACAAATTGACCCCTTTGGATTAATGTGTGTGTGTGTGTGTGTGTGTGTGTGTGTGAGAGAGAGAGAGAGAGAGAGAGAGAGAGAGAGAGAGAGAGAGAGAGAGAGGGAGGGAGGGAGGGGGGGAGGGAGGGGGGGGGGGAGGAGGGGGTGTGTGCCTGCAGAGTAATATGTGAATGTCAGAGGACAATCTGGGGCATTGGTTTATCCACCTCTTGAGACAGGATCTCCGGATCTCCCACTGTCTCGGAATTTTGCTACCTAGACCAGACTAGCTGGTCTAGGTGGGCCCTTGAGATCCCAGGACCCACATGACTTTACCTCCCATCTTGCCATCACTGGGAAACAATGCGCATCTTATTGCACCCAACTTTTTACATGGGTTCTGAGGATCCACACTCAAAGTGTCTTGTTTGCATAGGAAGTACTTTTTAGCAACTGAGCTATACTGCAGCCCCCATTTGGATGATCTTGGTCTATAGGGACAACAGTGTTTTGGATGGTTTCTAAAGTCATATGTCTATCTAGGGTGTGTGACTCAGCTCCTCGTCTTTTGACAAAAGAAATAATATATTATAAAGGACCTAAGGAAAAAAATACAGCCAGGCAGTGGTGACTCATGCCTTTATAATCCCAGCACTCGAAAAGCAGAGGCAGGTAGATCCTTGCGAGTTTAAGGACAGCCTGGTCTACAAGAGAGTTCCATGACTGGCTCCAAAGCTACAGAGAAACCCTGTCCCAAGCAAACAAACAAAAGATTACAAGTCTACGATAGCCATGCTTTCTCAGGAGCCAATAGAGTTTTCTTAAAAGACCTCAGGCAGAGCCTGCATCCCACCTTCCTCCTTCCCATATGCTGTTACAAACTTCAGGAGAGGCAGCTGGAGTGTGATAGTGTTTCCTTCCTTAAGATTAGCATATTCTGAGGAGGTAGGATCTGTATTAGTTACCGGACTTGTTACTTTGACAGAAGACCTGACAAGTCACTTAAGGAAGGAAGGGGATGTTTCGGCTCGTACTTAGAGCACAGGATACTATCATGAGGGAACACGAGGAAGCTACTTACACTGGATCCGCAGTCAGTGGATGCTGGTGTTCGACAAGCTCTCTCTTTTATGTGGTCCAGGATACCAATTGATGGAACAGTGCCCGGACAGTTGGGGTGGCACCTTTAACACACCCAAAGGCTTGTCATTTCAGTGAGTCTACATTCTGTCAAGTTGACAATCTGTCGTAAGAATCAAAGGGTCAATTATGATTATGGTTGTGAAGAAGGGGTCCCTCATTCTATGACCTTCAAGCTTTCTGTTTAACTGGCCACTTAACACTGCCTAAGCATATGCTCTAGAAATTAAGGGGGATATCATAGACTTTATCAGCTTATGAGATTTCTTCAGAAAATACGACCCAATCTCTTTGTCAAAGAGTAAAGTTTCATTACTAGATTTGTAGCTGAGCATGTAAATTGCTCATTTACAACTGGAACTTAAACTTTTAACTTTTTATCTTCTTTGGATTTTTGTTTCCTCCAGGTGCATTTTGAATAGTGTCTGAGACTAATCAACCCAGAAAAGCAAAAATGATCCTCAACTCTTCTACTGAGGATGGTATTAAGAGAATCCAAGATGACTGCCCCAAGGCTGGCAGGCACAACTACATATTTGTCATGATTCCAACTCTCTACAGCATCATCTTCGTGGTGGGAATCCTTGGAAACAGCTTGGTGGTGATTGTCATTTACTTTTACATGAAGCTGAAGACTGTGGCCAGTGTTTTCCTTCTGAATCTCGCCCTGGCCGACTTATGCTTTTTGCTGACCTTGCCACTGTGGGCTGTCTATACCGCTATGGAGTACCGCTGGCCCTTCGGCAATCACCTGTGTAAGATCGCATCAGCCAGCGTCAGTTTCAACCTCTACGCCAGCGTGTTCCTGCTCACCTGTCTCAGCATCGACCGCTACCTGGCCATTGTCCACCCGATGAAGTCTCGCCTGCGCCGCACCATGCTGGTGGCCAAAATCACCTGCATCATCATCTGGATGCTGGCTGGCTTGGCCAGTTTGCCAGCTATTATCCACCGGAATGTGTATTTCATCGAGAACACCAACATCACAGTCTGCGCTTTCCACTATGAGTCTCAGAACTCAACCCTCCCCATAGGGCTGGGCCTGACCAAGAACATTCTGGGCTTCCTGTTCCCTTTTCTGATCATTCTCACCAGCTATACCCTGATCTGGAAAGCCCTAAAGAAGGCTTACGACATTCAGAAGAACAAGCCGAGAAACGACGACATCTTTAGGATAATTATGGCGATTGTGCTCTTCTTTTTCTTCTCCTGGGTTCCCCACCAAATATTCACTTTTCTGGATGTCCTGATCCAGCTGGGCGTCATCCGCAACTGTAAAATCTCTGACATCGTGGACACCGCCATGCCTATCACCATCTGCATAGCGTATTTTAACAACTGCCTGAACCCCCTGTTTTATGGCTTCCTGGGGAAAAAATTTAAGAAATATTTCCTCCAGCTTCTGAAATACATTCCCCCGAAGGCCAAGTCCCACTCAAGCCTGTCGACAAAAATGAGCACGCTTTCCTATCGCCCTTCGGATAACATGAGCTCATCAGCCAAAAAGCCTGCATCTTGTTTTGAGGTGGAGTGACAGGCCCAGAGTCTGCTGGTGAAGCTGTGACAGAAGCCAGGGCCGCATCCAGTTAGATGGCACAGCACCAAAGGAACATTCACCCCTGCCTCAGATCTAAGCAGAGAACATGCATTCAATGGACTGAAGATGTTTTCTAAAAACTCTGAAAGGAAACTTTGACAAGAAACCAAGCAAAGCCGCTCCTTGCCGCATCTTGCATTAATAGATGATAACTGCCCAAAAGGAAGCGTCGGGAACCGGATGGATTTGTGGGTTTGGAAAACGTTTGCTGGCAGAAATGCAATCTCCTCAGTCCCCTCTTGCTATGTTCCTTTTGGTTTCCACAAGAAGGTATGTAGAGCTTGTTAAATGTTTAGAAACAAGAGGCAGGAGGTCAAGATTATTTGCTCTGCTCAATGTCCGGAGGGCAAGGAACCTTTTTTGATCCCTTTAGTCATTAGTAATGGCAGCCTACTCGTCCCTGTTACTACACATATTAGGCAAAGATTTGCTGAGCTTTAGTTATCATGGTTCAAAATCCCTTTGTAAAATTCAGGCAGTGTCTTAGTAATGTCCAGCGCCCCCAACCAATGCCAGCTAGTGGTGTATTTATGTAGCAGTGTTACCAAAGTCACACATCAAAGTCAAACTGCTTGTAATAACTGTGACTTCCTAGGTCCTTCAGCTTTACTTCACATGTAAGAATTGTATACCGTTGGTGGTGAATAGACTATAGATCATAAAATCTGCCTTGCTCTCTAAAAAAAGTATATATTCTCTACATATACGTACAACTACAGTCATTTGGTGAAAATCTGGCGATGTTATGTTTACCTCAAAATAAAGTAATTTTATTGTAATGTATCTAATCATTACTTAAAATAGAAGCTCGTCTATTTTTACAATGACATGGATGTAAGTACAAGTATATTTTTACTTTGTTTGGTCTGCTTGATGGTTTAATATGGTTAGATAGGTTTTCTAGCCCAGGAAAGATCAGGAAGCAACTAGATTTTTCTGCTGAACAACATGGGACAGATTTCACCATTTTTAAGTTTTTGAAGTTTTTCATACAAAAACAAAAATATTTTCAGTGCTCATAACATTAAATTAATACATTGTTTTACTCATAAGATTTTAAATAATCAAATGCCTCTAGTTATTTGTGTGGTGTTGCAGGAAATTTAGAAACTCTAGAAAGCACAAGATACTAGTCATATTAGTTCTTCAATACAAAAACATGTTCATATCAGTATTGTAGGTATACTATTTTTGTACTCATCATATATACATACATATGTAAATTATGATGTTGGAGTCATAATGTATAAGCAATTTTATACACAATTTTGTCTCTCCTCAGTGACATTGCATAGTAGCTACTATCCCATTAGATATACTTGCTCAAACATTTTAATACTGTTATAAAATAAACATACCTTATATAATTAGGAAATCACCAAATTTGGAACATTTACCATTATTTTAAAATTTGTTGGTATCAAAAATTGCACTGTGCTGGTCATTCAAGTATATGAATCTGGTGAACCCCTCTCCAAGAAGCAGTAGAACCAATGATACAGTTGTAAACATTTTTCATATTCCAATGTATGTGGCTAAATATTTTCCAGGAAACATAACACAATTTATCTGCCACCTGCTATGTTTGGCTATAGCTCATGACAGCCTTAGCATAAAGGAGTTTACTTGCTGGAAGAATCCAGGTACTTTATACAAGGGCAGGGAGCAAACTAGGCCAGAATGCTCCCATGGGGCAGCTAGCTTGTTCTTTACCCTGGAAACATCCATTGTCCCTACCCCAGGCATGCCGGGGTGTCCATTCTGGTCCAGTAAAATGTGCAAAGGATTGGGCAAGATTTAGAATAGTTGTTGGTAATATAATAATTAGAATGGTTGAGAGATGTTATGGGCAAGGAGGTTGTTCAGAGACATTGGTGGACAGGGCAGAACCTCCAGCATCAAATCATCTCAGTCGTATTCTTGGAAATAAATGTGGTTACATGTGCTTCATATCAATTTTTTTCTTGTCTTATTTTAAATTTCATCAATACATTGCTGGCCACTTATTTCAATTTTCATTTGTTTTCAAAAGGATTGTGTAGTAATTTCAATGAACTATCCCCTATAAGTCTCAGGTATTTGAATTCCTGGTCCCCAGCTAGTGGCTGTCTGGGCAGGAGGTAAGGTGGAGGGGTGGAGGGATTAAGAGGTGTGGCCTTGCTGAAACAAGTATGTCACCAGGGGTGGGCTCTGAGTTTCAGAAGACTGGAGCCATTTCAAGTCACTCTCTCTGCTTCCTGTTTATGGATGAAGATGTGAGCTCTCAGCTGCTGCTCAAGAAACCTGCCTGCCTGCTATCATGCTCCTCAGTAAGATGGTTATGGATTCTGATCCTGTAAGCTCCCAAATAAACCCTTGTTTTGGTTATAGTGTTTTGCCCTTGCCATAGGCTCAAAGCAGTTCTTTACTCATTAACCAATAAAAGCAACACATAGACAGAAGGACCTCCCACACCATATCATAGCAATAGAAGAGTAACTAATACCGATTTTCCCCCAAATATTAAATTCTACTTCATCTCAAATGAGATACCATGATTTAGTTTTTTCATGAACATATTTAAAGTAAGTGCACTACTTGCTTTTGGAATATCTTTTAAATATACAACATCCAAGGGTAAATATTCCATAAAGATTCCAGGTGCCCATGAAATGCAGGAGCTACATATACTGCCTTATTTCTCCATGAACAAATCTATTTTTCAGTTGAAGATTCATTTGTTCATCAATTCAGTAAATATTTTATGTTTACCTAGCCTGTGTTGGGGCTAGAGAGTTATGTAACTCCTAGCTTATAGTGCATAATAGGCCTCTCCATAGTTTGTAAGGTAGGCAAGTAAGAGGCAGCTGGGTTGACAAGCCATGGTAAAGCTAAGAGTTTTTATGCAATGTAGTTTCGGTTTCATAACTTTATGCACCACTGCATTTTCCCCTAATAGTCCACAACCACCTGAGAATCAAGAAAAGAGAAAGCAGTATCAAGTAGGTCAAAACAGAAGTAAAAGAAAACAAGCCCAGGGAATTCCAGATATGCGTATGATGGATAAGATCCTTGAAAGTGGAGAACAAAGTAAACCGGGAGAAAGACAGGATGAGGTAGAGGCTGGAGACAGGCATATACTGCTTCAGATCATGGGACAGATGTCATAGGAGGACCACACACAGATGTCTGGGACCTGAAATTGTATTAGATTTAGGCCTAGACCAACAGGAGGAAGAGGAAGCTAAAATGTCAGGGAGAGACGCAAGCTATAAACAATGGTATGGCCACGACACAGTTGTACAGATTTTACATAATTTAGGTTATGTTGTATAATAGGAAAGCATCCCTTGAATGCAGAAGGCACCAAGGAGATTACAGAATAAGTGCCAAGGGAATAAGGAAATGATAAGGGTGGTAGGATATTCCAGCCAAGGAGCAGAGGGTTGGATTTTCAAAATTTAAATTTCTTACTGAGTCAGGTCCAATATGTGTTTGCTAATGAGAGGTCTAGCCTAGTGGTAGAGTGTTTGGATAGCAGGCATAAGGCCTCTGTTTCTTTCATGATAGTAAAATCAGTATCTATAATTGTATCCACTTTTGTATATTTGTGTAATAGAATTCTGTGGGATTACCTGTAGTGCCCTGTCCTATTTGAATGGAAATTTTTCATGTCATCTGAGGACAAGACTACTTTAGAACAAGCCATGTTCCTCCCTAACTCCATTTCTAGGCCACAAAAATGGGTGTAGGTTTGACATGTTTCATTAACAGTTTTATTAAGATAAGGTAGAGCAGAATCCACTGAGGCTCATCCTTCTGCAGCCTGAACATACACTCAAAGAAACCATATACATTATTTAGTGAAACATCCATGCTTATAGAATAAATACAACATGCTGTCTAGATAGTTTCCGGTGACCTGAATGTATTAACAGGAGTTGATATACCCATATACAGTAAGTATATCTACTTAAATAATATTAATTATGGTAGATGATGGATCCTGCAGAAGTTAAGCCTAAGCAAGGCAGTTGAACCAAGGTTTACACACATGTGGCATATTTTTCTCATTGACTTCTTCCTGACAAATTCTCAGATGAGATGTAACAATTATGAAAGTATCTGTTGAAGAAGAACAACAGTTCAAACCTGGCTCTTCATCAGTTTCTTGTAGAAGTCTGAGTCTTGCTCAAAACACAGGTATGTATTTAGGACTAGTTGTGTTTATTTCAAAATCATACTTTAATGCTTTGATCTACAAATTTGAAGGAACTGAAGAGCTCTGGAGATGATATCATTTATTAAGTCTCATTTGCTTTGTGCGACTTGTTGATAAGTTTTCAATCTTTCAAAATATTTTACAAATTGTCAAATGGAATAGATCGTACATTAGGAAAACAGAAAAACGTTTGCATTTGTGAGATGCAACTTTGGACAATGTTTCCCATTCATGAGAGTAATGTTAACAGAGATGATGGGAGCTAAGGTCACAGTGGAGTTCTTGATTCTATATACATCTGATTCCCACCTGTGGAGGCCCAAAAATGTGGACCCATTTCCACCTTGTCTGAAGGTCAGAGAGTTTTAGCTTGATCAAAGTTGTTTCAAAGTGTGGCCACATATTCTGAACTAGAGTGTGGTTACTTGGTCTCTTTGACAAGATGACCCACACAGGTAGATCCTCTCCACCCTGACCAAAGGTCAGGATATTCAAGCATACTTCTGCTCTTTCTTTTGAAATAGGAGGATTGACTTTGGGAGTGGCTGTCTTCAGGTTACTTGGTTTGGGGTGGGTTCACTGCCTAAACAACAGAATGCTAATGACTTGATGTCTCAAAGTGTTGAAGCAAATAACTGTCCAAGTCCTTTGTATCATATTAAAACAGTCTTTTGTCTTCTTCCCCCTGTTGTATTGGGGGTATAAAACTGTATGGAAAAATAAATTCAGGGGATTTCAGTATTCACTGGAACTTCCTCCCAGTACTATTCTATGTTTGCTGTTTTATTATTTCACTCACATCTTTGTTCTCTTTATTTATTTTTCTAATTCTCATGCCTCTACTTTGGTAAGTAGTATCCTTGTCAAAGATGGGTCCCCAACACCACCTGTGTCTTTATGGATGGTAAATGATACAGCCAACATTCATGTTTCTTTTTAAAATTGCATCTTTTACTTACTATGTGAATATGTGCAGTTATACATGCTTGTTTTTTTTTTTTTTTTTTTTGCCACAGTGCATTGTGGAGGTCAGAGGATAATTTGGAAGAATCAGCTATCTCCTTCAACCATATAGGTGCCTGGGTTTTGAACTCAGGTCCTTGGGTGTGGTAGCAAGCACTTTTATCCAGTGCATTGTCTCATGAGTCCCAGATCCAAGGGACCATGACTAAGGTCTACAAGTGCGGTTGTGATTGATAAGAGTTCCCCTTTTCCGGTGCCGAGCACATCATCCATCAGGCCATTTAATACGGGTTCTATCATCCAAGTTCTACAACCCCTTGGTTTATATTCAAGTGAAGGTGATGCAGACTAACCTATGTTAGTCACCTCTGTCAGCTTGTGGGATGGTGGGGGTCCAGATATACAAGAGTGTGTGTGTTAAAGGGAAGACCTGCATGGGACTGAGGATATGGCAGTACCTGCTATTATATATTATTGTGGCTAAAACCTGTCTCCTGACATGGCACAGTGGCAAAAGATTGACTATAATAAATCTAATTTGAAGCATAGAATCATAAGGCAGAAAATGAACAACCAGGCCATCTGACAGCCCAAAGAGATGGTCTTCTTGCTGTTAGGCCTCCCATCCAGACCCAGTAGCCCTTTAGTCCTCTTGGTCCCATAGGAAGAGCAAACATTCCACCTGGCTCAAGTCCGTAGAAAATATCTTTACCACGCTAACTCATCCTGCTTGAAAAATCATATAGTGAGGCTAAACAGTGAATTTCCATGGTCAGAAAGAGCCAGAATTGATCATTTAGAATGAGCTTGTGTGGCTTTAGCAATATTTAATTATGTCATTCACACACAGTATATCTTTGGATAGGTAAGTTTCTGTGAGTTGAAAACCCCTCAGATTTACCCTTCATCAGCATGATAAGAGATTTTTATCTATTAGTGTGAGATATAAATTTAAATGCTAAGTGATGTGAACTGTGAGACTATTTAAAGGAGGCTTTACCACAGTGACTTAGTTTCAAGAATCCTCGTGTCAGTGAGTCAGTTATTCCCCCGGGCCTAGTTCCTGATTCTTTCCATGTCTGTAAAGTTTCTTTAAAATACTAAACAGGATGCGAAAAATAGAGATTCTGAGTAGACCTGCTTGTGAATTGGCTTAGAGCTCATAGAAATACTTTTCCAAGAACATTGAAGTTCTGTTGGGTCATATGGGTACATAGAGTTACCAAAGGATAATTTTCCAGAAATAAGCCAATAGGCTTCCAGCCTCCGAGCAGCAGATAGAAAAGCAGACTAGCATTAGCCTGCAGCAAGAAACTCTGCCAAGGTTCAGTAGAGAGGAGAGAGATGCCAGAGAGATGTGCCCAGACAGATGTGCCCGGACAGATGTGCCGCACCTTAGCCAGCACCGTGTATGTGACACTAGAGGCCCCAGTGTGGACCTATTATTCTCGTGGTGGCCTTCTCCCGGATGGACACTACAGGGACATTTCCAAGCAGTGTTGACTTCACGTAAAGCAGTTTGTTATCCCGGAGGCAACAGTCAGTTCTCCAGACAAGCAGCTGCTATTCCCCTTCACTCAGATACTAAGTGGATGATGGGAAAAGAGACCTTCCTACTGAAGTTACCTGTATAGCTATTCCTTGAACTCCCAAAGACTCAATCTCTTGCATCCCATTAGATTACCCAGTGAGAGCAGACTCTGGATAGAGCTCTCCCCACCCCCACCCCACCAACCTTAAGTAAACTGGTCCATTCTCTTCCCCTGGCTCAGGAGGCATGGGTATACAATCTCAGTGTTACCCAATCAGAACAGATTGCTGGATTTTCCCAGGAGACGCTACCAAAGCAAAATGTTCTCCCCATTACACAAAATCTAAGGGAACCTGAAGTGCTATTCCTTCCAAGGGAGATGTGGGAATTTCCAGGAACATGTACAGAAAGATTAAGTATATTGGCAACAAATGAAAGACTGGAAAAACATCTTTAGGACGTCATTTGAGAATTTCCAGGAGGTAGTACCACCCTTCAGATTTCTGGTTGGTTTTTGTTTTTTTTTTTGTTTTTTTTTTTTTTCTCCAGCCAGTTGGGGATAGAGAAAATTACACACTAAACCCCAACTCTCTGTGAAACCGTTGTAACCACCATGCAGTTCTTACTGATGGAGAATACTCGGCTCCTGTGCCCTACACATAACAGCCAGTCGTGTCAGTGCCTTTGTTATCCAATGGGACACAAAGAAGCTCAGGAGGCCTGCGTAACCAAGGCTGCAGCACTCCTTGCCAATGCTGGCCCTGGAACGTGAACCTGCGCAAGTTCACTCTAGAACGCGCATCGAGGCTGCTTTTCCCCCACGCCTCACTTCTAAAGGCTCATCTGAATCTCGTAGGCACTTCTAAAAATAATTTCCTATGACCACTTATTCAAAATCAGTAAAATACCTTATTTTGTCTTTGGCCATATTTACTGAACTTCATCTAGAACTTGTTGAAAAGTGGGCTCACTGATGGGAAAGACTGGCTGATCTTATAGTAGAACACTGACTTTTATGTTTATTTTAATTTGATTTGGGCTGCGCATGTATTTCATCCAATAAACAAGCGGGCTACAACTGTTAACTGCCTCGGTGACGAATGCTCTGGTGCTTTGTGTCACTAAGGCTTTAGAGAGTATTTGCTAAGTTCCCAAATTAGTTTTTAGAGCAAAGTTTTACCTTTTACACCTAATAAAATGATGCATTTTGGGAATTACTGAGGAGAGACTATATATATTCTGAAGAAGAGTTCCTGTGAAGTCATATACAGTTCAGACTTGGCAATGGATTTAGGTGAAGAATTAACCCAGAGTAAGAAAAGCCCAACTTGTTGATTTATTTCAATTGTACACAGAAAACCAGGGGACAAGAAGATCCCAGGTGTGAATCTGTCACTGAAAACCACCCCAAAAGAATACCGTTCAGATCAGGATCACGCCAACGTGACAGACAGACTTATTTCTGCTTGCCGTGTATTCCTGCAGCTACCACAGGCAGAAAGGGAGAATTTTCTCGTGAAATACTTAAAAATGAAGCCATTTAGCCTCAAGTTGAGGGAAAGACAAATTTGACAATCCCTACTGTAGGAGATTAAGGAAGGAGCCACAGTTAAAGTCTATAGATTAGCTGCAAAGCCTTGTGGGAAATAACGTGTGAGCATCCTGGTTTTTACAACTTACACTGTGCTTCTCCGCCCTAGTTTTCCCATTCTCCCATGCAATGTCTCAAATCGCATTGCGTGTGAATGAGCTTCAGCTGCGGAAGCCGACTTTATGGGAAACTTGCCCTGAAAGGAACTGCCAGTTCCCAGGTCTAGTGAGCTACTAAGTCTACTGAGATGGCCCCCAATGCAGTGTGTTTTAACGTCACTGAGAAACGCTGGAGACAAAGGCGGGTGGAGTAGGCAATACGATGACACCTGAAATTGTTCAACCTTAAAAATGCTTCCACAGAGAGACAAAAACGCACGGTCCCACCAAGCCGCTAATCCTCAGAGAAGACAGTGCAGGTACATGAGACGCTACTGGCGGCTCGGAGGGCCAGACCAGTGTCAGCATTTGAAGAGATTCTGATAAAAGCCATTATCGGACAAATCCAAACATGTATTTTTTTTACTTTAAATATTTTCATAGAGGAATTGAGTAGCTTTCAATAAAGAATACATTAGAACAAAATAATAGTAATAGGAAGCCAGAGAGGAGAGCCACACACAGACAGAAACAAAATTATTGATGCTGTTATCTGAGAAAAACACTGGGCTCAGATCTTCTTGTGCCTGGGTGAATGAGTGACATCACTACGTCCCTGGCTCCTTTCCTCAACACAAGAGTAGAAAAGGCCCTTAAGTGGAGCGACTGCCTTGATATCAAATTCCCAAGGCAACTGCTCATGTGGCGTAATGGGTGGATGAGACACTCAATATAATGGGTGGTCTTATTTTAGTACACTTATTTCTTTATGTGTGTGTGTACACATGTGTGTGTGCATGCAGAGGCTGCATGTGTGGTCAGAGGACAATTTGAAGGAGTCAGTACTCTCCTTCCACCATGTGGGGTCAAGGGCTCTACCTCAGGCTGCAAGTGTCTTTGCACTCAGCCTTTTCGCTGGCCCAGTGAACGATTTTAAAGAAACACATCCTGTTTTATTGTCTGATTCAAATATGGTTCTTTTGCAATGTTCTTCTACAAAAGCAAAAGCAAGAGCTAGGTATGATGGCAAATGCCTGGCATTCTAGCACTCAGAAGGCAAATTCTAGACCAGCTTGATCTACACGGTACATCCCAGGCCAGTCAGGGGTATAGACCAAGATCTTGTCAAAATAAAATTCCAAGAACACGACACCAATTTAATGAGCGTTGGTGAAATGGGGATGAGATATGGACCTAGCCAATGGTGTATTTAATAGACTAATGAGGGCATTCTGGCGTCAGTGGGAATGTCTAAGTCCATTGAAACCTTAGATGAAATCAGCTCACATTGCCAGGGAGAGTACCAAGTCTCCAGAAATGTCTGCAGAATCCTAGAGAGTTTTGCATTTCTGTGGTCTCTTAAACTCCTAATCATTTCCCTCCCTAATTCAGCTTACCATTCATTTTACTATCCTAGACATACTTTAGAATGCTTCTGTCCATGTGATACAGGCGCAAAAAAGTTCCAGTCTAAAGAGGGAACACAGAAGACACAGCACATTGACATTCTCTGTTATTAGGGTGACAACACTGATTCAAAAAGTCCTCCGTTCCCTCTGGGTGTTTCTCTTCTATACATCACCCAAGAC